ACATTTCTGGAAGTGTTCATATTTTTCTGTTTTGTTCCACTGAGGAAAACTGTGGTCCCTAAACATAATCGGAATCGGTACCCTCACTCTGGGACAGGAATGAGGATTCCTGACTAAGAGGGGTGTAACGTGTGTGTGTGTGTGTGTGTGTGTTGTGTGTTTTCTGGGCTCCCCTGTTTGCTGCTTCTTCTTTTGGGAGCTGCTGCCGGGAAGGAAGGAAGGAAGGAAGGGCGGGCTCCCAGAAGCTGCCGCCGGGAAGGAAGGAAGGAAGGGCGGGCTCCCAGGAGGGTCAGCGCCTGAGTGGGTGTTAATTGGGGGTCTGCCCTGTGATCAGCCTAACAAGTGACTCCCATTTTCTCAAAGCCTCATCCCATGAATATTTACTTACAATATAAATTGCAAATAAATGTTTTAAGGAGAACAGTCTTCAGGAGTGAGTGTCACATTAAAGGGCTGTCTCGGGAAGAGACGTGGGATGCCGAAAGGAGGCTGACAGAGGCAGCTGGGCCCTCTTCTTAGAGAGCACATCCAGGCAGGGCAGGAGATGGGCTTTGACACTTTTGAATATGATCTGAATAATGATACGTCATGTTTAATTCATTTGTAAATTTAGCACTGTACACGTTCTGAGGAAGGGCAGGGAAGGTGAGGGGCGGCACACCCACGGCGGCCCGCAGAGCTCCTCGTGCGACCACAGGCCAGGCTGGGGCTGCAAGAAGGCAGGCCGGTTGCTGCTGACTTGCGTGGCTGCACTGAGGGCAGAGGGGCTGTCTGGCTTTGAAAAAGGAGGAGGAGGAGAGGGAGGAGACGGGAGGGACTCCGCACTGCCCGACAGGGCACAGCAGCTTCCTTCTGGTGGACTGTGGTGCAACCGGGGTGTGTGTGGGTGTCCTTTCACACCCTCACCACTGCAGGATGGGGGACTTTCCCTTGCAAGGGCCAGTCTGAGGCTCCCGAGGGCCTCTCTCCTGCCTTGTCTCTCGTGATATGGGTCTTCCTTGACTGGATTTCCACAGGAAGAGTTGAGCCTCTGGAGTGGGACCACTGCAGAAGCCCAGTCAGGTTTCTTAACACCAATATGGAACACGGCACCTGTTGGGCATCTTTCTGAGGACTAAAGTGCTACTCTTTTAAAATGTTGGTCACAGAATTGGAAGGGATGGGGTGGCCCACCTAGCTCAGCCCCTTCTTTGGCACCACAAATCCAGGATCAGAGCATCCCAAGCAGAGGACTCTCCTGCTCAGATCTGAAAATTTCCATGGAGAAAGGAGCGAGGGAGGGTCCTGTCCAGCCACCTCACTCTTCCCAGGCAGTCCGTTCTGTTGCTGCTTTACTCTTCCAGTCAAGTAGTCCCCCCCCCACAACACCCCACTTCCTCATTAAGATTTTGCCCTCCTGTCATGGGTGCCCATTGCTACTAGTTCTGACCACCGAGGCACAAGGAAATCAGCCTTTTCTCCATCCAATGTGAGTGTCTTTTGGTGATGTGGAGGGGCACTCCCAGCTCTTGCATTCTCCCCCACAAATCAAGCTTGCTCTTTCTCCGGCTCCACGTACTCAGTTCTTCTCACTTGCTTTCCGCGTCACTGTCTTGCTTTAGTTCCTGTGAGCCTTTCTAGTTTGGCTGTGGACTTCTAAAAGGATGGCACCTAAAACTGGCCACAGTGCTCTAGACTAAGCTGTACTACTGTGGAGAATGTGTGGGGCCTTTGTTTCACAGGACTTAGAAGCAGTGGCTCTGTTACTGCAGCCCAAAACCTCTATCACTGTTTTCTTGCTGCATCACACCTTTGGCTGATGTTTGTTTTCCAGCCAGCCATTATCCCAGGATCCTGGATGTAAAGCTAGGTGCTCCCCCATCCTGCACCAGTGCATTTAATGTGAGGGTGAGAGCCAAGGGAAGAGTTTTGTATTTCCCTCTGTTTCATTAAATGTGTCTTTGGGTCCAGTTTTCTATTCAATCAAGTTTATTTTGAATTTTACTTCCCTTTTGTAAGATCTTAACTATACCTCCCTGTTTTGAGTCATTCACAAATGTGACAGAGATTTCCACCCTTTAATCTAGGTCACTGAAAAAAGGGGTCTGGATGTAAGACAGGGTCCTATAGTAGTAGTATTGATAAGAAACCATCACTGGGCACTTTCCAAATGCAGTTTTCCACCTACATGTAAACCTTCCTGACAATATTATCATTCCTACCCTGTGTTTGGCCAGTTGCTAACCAAAATGTCATGGGCTCTTGACTTTGACAAATGCTCCAGCAAAATCAGGATGAATTGCATCTTCAGCATCCTCTAAGCTAATAATCAGATCAGAAAAAGAGAGATAAGATTAGGATGGCAGGATTTATTGTCGACAAATCCAGACTGGCTTTGACTAATCACTGCATTGTTAGCAAGATGCTCACAAATTGAGTCCTTTATAATCTGCTCTAATCTTTTTCCTGGCTCAACTGACTGTCCCAAAGTGAGAAGGCATTTGTCCATCTCTAGTCTTGCAACACCTCACCTGTTCCCCAAGGTTTTGGAAAGAGGAGTTACATTCTCAGAGTCCTTTATTCCCTAAGGATGTGACTCATCCAGACATGAAGCCTTGGAATTATACAGGGTAGCCAGGTTTTCCCTCTCCTTTCCCTCCCCTCCCCCCTTGCCCATGGAGAGAAGCAGTCAAGTCACGCTATCCAGGCAAGGTCACATGTGGTTCTGTTCTCTGAGAGAAGAGCAAGACAAACCTGGAGCTCAGCAGTTTCAGCTTTTCCACTTTTCTCAGCAGTTTCAGCTTTCAAACTATTTCCACTTTTGCACCCTGGCCAACTCACAGGATGATCAGTTCCTTTGTTCTTCAAGCTACCAAGCTCTGTGAGGAATGCTTGAGGGGCTTGGGCATGTTCGGCTGGAACAGGAGACTGAGAGGTGGCAGGATAGAATCAGAGATGGTAGAACCTAGCCCTCTTCAAAGATTTGAAAGGCTACCCTGTGGAAGATGGAACTGCCTTATTTTGTGTTTCTGAGTAGTCATACAGAAAACGTTCCTGACATAGCCAGCTCTTTGATGCTGGGAGAGACTGCTTGGAACTGGGATGGGGAGCCCTTTGTCAGAGTTGGTTCTGTGGAGGGGAGTCCCCGTCAGGAAGTTTCTAGCTGTGGATTTACTGCAACGTCAGGTGGTTTGGCTACATGAGTTTGGGGCATCTTCCAACTCTACAGTTCTACCATTCTAGAATTTATCTTCCATTAAACATATCTAGAAAAGTCATTCCTGTTCCTTTTTGTGGCTGTAGCTCTTTGAGCTGCAGATTTCATTACATTATCTCTTCAGATCTGGCCACTCATCATATTTGTTCCTGCTGATTTGCCCTTCCTTCCATTTCTTAGATATTCCCTCTTAAAGGTTTTCTGCTCATCATTTAGCTTTTGTGCCAGTTTGGGAACTCAGGTCTGCTTCTCCCATCCTTCTTCTATTGACAACAACTACCAGAGTGAAGGTTCTGCCTTCCAGCTTTCTGGGTTTCTGGCAGGTCAAATCCAAAATTTCTGGTACTGCTGGGCACTTGTGCTGAGTATGCAAATGTTTAGAGAGAGGGAGTGGTCTCCCTTGCTGTGCAGGGGTCTCCAGAAACCTGCCATCATGTGTCGGAAGCTGCTCTGATGGGAAAACAGCCTGCCAGCCAAACTCTACTGAGCTGAAGACATCCAACATAGAAACTGCTGAAAGTGAAAATGAATTGTTAGACAAAAACGCCAGCCGGGAGGTGGGAGATGCTTGAGAGCGCATCCAAAAGACATTGAATAATTAAAGGACAAGACAATGAAAAGGCAGCGTAATGTGAACAGAAGCAACGTCAGGCTTCTTGGCGAGGTTGCCAGGTGTGTGGGGTGGGATTCCTCCTTCTCTTCCTCTGGCACCATAAGACTGGCTGCTCAGAAGAATGTGTGTGTGTGTGTGTGTGTGTGTGTGTGTGTGTGTGTGTATCAAAGAGGGTAGCGGGAGGGGAGGAGAGGGGAGCGGAGGACTGAGAGTTCACAGCCATGTCACCTTATGTCTTCCTTTTCATTTCCTGATAATTAAATGTAGGAATATCCTGAATGAGGCACTGCTGTAGCTCCTCAAGGTGACCTGAATTAGGGGCTACCTCATCTACTGCTGATTTCCAGTGAGGCATAGTGGATAAAGTGATGGATCAGGACTCTGGACAACAGGGCTCAAATCCTGGCTTGGCCATGGAAAGTCACTGGGGTGGGGGGAAGAAACTGGGAAAACCACTGCTTAAATACCTAAATACCTGTTAGGGCTGCTATAAGTCAGTTCCAACTTGACAGCACAGAACACATGTACATACATCTGCTATCAGCTCCAGCAGCTGAACCTGGCACACCAATTCACTCAAAGATGCCATTTGGAGCACCATGGATGTCTGCTGCTGAAAGGAGAACATGGTTCTCAGGGAAGGTGTAGATGGAAGGCCGCCACGCGG